ACAGAGAGAGCGCGAGCAAGCACAGTCCATCATGTGGGCCTGAGTTCAATCCCCAGTACCAAACAAAGCAAAAGCAATCCTGTCTTCCTGGAAGATAGCAGCTCTCATTACTTGTATTCACAAATAAAGCTAAGCTCTGACTTTTATTTAAGAGAAATAAAACAGAAGCTTAGGGTTATTTTTAAGTGGGAGTACAAATGTTACTTATCTTGATTTGTATCAAACAAACCTAAAATGTCTTTCAGTTGCAGAGATCAAACTACAAAAGATTAGTGAACCAAGACTCAGACAGGATAACAAATGTAAATGGTTACCTCCAAATTCCTTTCTAGCAGGTGCAGGACTCCTAGCCCCTTATAGTTCACAAGAAAATATGCAGCAGAAAGGAAATGACATTAAATAAAGAATTAAATGTCAAGATTTTCTTTTGTAGTCATGGTAACATATGTTGGAATTAAATGTATCTAGATAGTATAAAAAAGCATGTATTCATAGAAACTGAAGTAACATTATAACCATATTTAAAAAATATATAAAATATATTAAATAATAAGCAGGCTCCTTAGTTCTAATTGTAAAGTTTATAAAACTTAGTAAACTTTAATGATTTTATGAAGTCAGAAATAAGACTTAAAAAGAAAATTAAACCTAGTTTTAGCTAAGAACAGAGTATACACTGAACTCCATCAAATTACCAAAATTAAAATGAACCACTCTTTCTGTGATTTTTTTTTTTTTTTTTTTTGTGGCTCTGGGGATTGAACTCAGGCCCTTGCACTTGCCAGGGATGCGCTTATTCTACTGAGCCATCTCCCTGGGCCCCCTTTTCTTGTGTGTGTGTGTGTGTGTGTGTGTGTGTGTGTGTGTGTGTGTGTGTTTTTAAATGAACCACTCTTGCACACTGGTAAGAAAAGAAGGCAGCTGCAAAAAGCTATCCATTAAATACAGTGTACTTTTCCTGTTAGGCCTATTATGTCCTTTGAGAAAAGGTGAAAAAATAGCAACAATGATAAAACAAACCAATAAAACTAGAAGCTAGTGATACAAAAACATGGAACATTCTAAAATAAGGTGAATAAAAAATAAAATAAAGCGAAAAAGAAATTGGGGGGGCCGGGGAGATGGCTCAGTAGAATAAGCACTTCTTTGGCCTGAGTTCAATCCCCGGTTCTGCCACAAAAAAAAGGAAAGAGAAATTGGGGTCTGGCACAATGGAAACAGTGGGCTCACCTGAAGGTGGTGGTGGTCTCTGTGGGGGTGCAGGGCGCGTGGGAGGGGCAACTGGCCTGGGCGGGGGTGGTCGCTTGGGCTCCAAGGTCTGGGAAGACTCCCTCTGCTGCGGGGGTGCTGCTGGCTGAGAATCAACCGGAGAACCTAAGCAAGTCCAGGAGGGATAAGATCAGGAACCAAGGGGGTGCTGGCAGAAAGCCATGTACTTTACGTACATGTGCAATAAATATTCCATGTTGTTGAATTTTAAAATGTGTTCACTAGTGTAGAAAAATGGCACACACTTTCAGTAGAAGTAGCAGAAGCCATCTATCAGGCCCTGAGGGCTGCTACCTCTATCTGACTCTGTACATGGGCCCGCTCCTGAAAGATGATTTACTGAGTGGCCCTTATGAAGAAGGCATGACCTTGGTTTAAGTCACCTGCAGTCTGCTGCCCAGTAGACAGAAAGAGAAAGAAAAGCCCAAATACTTTCAAGTACAATACACACTCTGTGAACTTGGAGGGCCTGGAGTTCTTGATGGAGTTCGACTTGGTCTGATGGGAAAGGAAGGTATAGGAGCCTCTGCTATTGTAGGTGACTGGCAGGGACTCGTCCGGGGTGAAGAGCTTGGGGAAGTGCCGAGGCCAGAACTTGAGGATGGCTGCAGATGCTGAGGAAGAAGTTCCTCTACTTCAGCACTGTAGTCATCGACATCACCTAAGGAACAGCAAGAATATCATAGATGCCACCATTTCAATTTGCTCAGAGATTCTTCTCTAAGAAGGGCTTTCAGTGGTTCAGATACACAAACTAACACATGGATAAAGCATGTAGTTGTATATAAACAATATGTGTACAACAGAGTTAGTATAAACACTCTTACAGAAAATATAAAGATACCTGTTAACTCAAAACAACCTGATGTTGGGTGGATGAAAAGGGCTTTCACTGACCAAATGCCTGAGCAACTAGAGCATGATAGGGGACTCCTAAGATGACCGCTGTTCCTCTAAGTCCATCTGTGTTCATCTGTGCTCTTAGGAACTGCTCCCTGGCCAGCCCAGGTTGAGTCATATAGCATCAGCTCTTGGATAGCCACATACCCCTTCCCTGGAACCCTTACTCTCCTTCATGCCCACACAGACCTTCATACCTACTGGATGCCACTTCTCACCTAAGGTGTCCTTATTGCCACTATCTTAGTGCTGAAAGTTAGGTTGGTGCCAACTGCACCCTTATTTCTGACTCCAGAAAATTAATCCTCCACCTTTGAAAAATATATCCTATTTCTCTGAAGCTATGCCATCACGACTTTATGCAGCACCCACTACTCTACTTCTTGTAGTAATCTCCAGGCACCATCAAAGACTAAGCAAAAAACAAGACAGTAAGTTGAGTTCTATCCCTTTCTGTGACATGGGCCACATGGACAACTCAGCCCACTGACACTCACATCTGCTCCTAACACCATACCCTCAGAACCACAGCCTCTGAGCCCCAAGTGCAAGCTCTATATCCTGACACCCTGCAGCCCTGCACTTCCCTTCCTCAATCACTTTTTTCTTCTTTTCTTTTCAGCAGGATCCAGGGCTTGACCCATTTCATTATAACCCCCATCCAATTTTGCTCTTGCACCTCACTTTAGATTCTATGGTTCTTTACTCAGCTGTTCCTCTATCTCATGACTCTTCTATCACCCTTGCTTACGAAAACCTCTACTGTGTGTCAATTCCACTGCTTGATCTTTCTGTAACTACACGTGGCCTGCTGAGTGCTGCTGCTAAAGAACCCACATAACCCTTATGATCATAGCTGAGCTCTCAAGGTTGCTTGGCAATTAGACGATCTATCGACTGACTCTTCCCTGCTACCTGTCTCCTCAGCAGCTTTATTCCAAAGGTCTTCAACTCTCCTCAAGCTGCTGATTGCTTCCCTCCTACAGGTAATTTGAATACTTAAACTTCATGGTGAAGTGATGTCTTAAGATGGAGGCACCCTCTTCCCCTCACGCCATCAACAACCTGTCTGCAAGCTGGAATCTAATCAGATGGCACTCAGGTATTTGTGAGTGCAATTAATGGGGTCCCACCCACCCCAGTTCTCAGTGACCTTGCTCTGTTATTCTGCCAATATTTTCTAATATCACAAGCCCTTTCACTTCCAGCAGCTGGGAAAAAATTCACTATGTCAAAGGATACATACACAGAGTTCTCTCATTTATACCATCTTTGGATTTCTGGTCTCCCTGAACCAACTGTCTTCTCCCGTCTCCCTATTCTTAGCCAAGCTCCTTTACAGAGCTGTCTATAGGCACTCTCTCGATTTCATTTTTCACCCACAAAAATTTCAACCACTAGCTTTATCACACCACTGAAATTACTTTGTAAGTATGTGTGTATGGGGTCTTGGGGTCTGAACTCGGCCTCTGCACTGAGCTACATCCTCAGTCTCCCCCTTGTGTTTTGTTTTGCCTCTAATCTTGAGACACAATCTTACTTAGTTACTAAATCACCTGGGCTGGGCTTGAACTTGCAATCCTCCAACCTCAGCTTCCCAGAGTTCTAGAGTAACAGGCAAGTACCACCACACCCAACTGAAATTTCTTATGAAGGTCACCAACAGTTTCCCTTCTTGTTAGTAAATCAGGACAAGTTTCTGTCCTCATTGCTTTGCATCTTTCTGTGTTACCAAATACTATGGGCTTTACCGCTTCCTTCTTATATTTTCTTTCCTTGAATTTTAATCCACAAAATTCTCAGGCTCTTTGACCTTTCTAGGTGTTTCTTTTCATTTTTCTTTTATAGGCAGACTTCTGTCTGTTCTCAAACTCTGTTCTTCCATGTTTGATCCCTGGACTGTTAGGGATCATACTCAATTCAGTCACCCACTTTCTGCATGATCCTATTAAGGTAATAAATGCTCACAGTGTCACTTGCCATCAGAGCTATCTGTGTCAGAGCTCTCTCCTAAGCACTAGATCAGATAGCTATCACCTGATACCTGGACCAAATGACCCCACAGACATTACCAGTCTATCCTACCATGTTCTTCTTCCTGCATTTTTTCTTTACTTATTCTCTCACAAAAAATACTTACATGATCTTCAGAAATACTTACTTGTCTTTCTCCCTTTTGGGCCTACAATTATGTATTTTCATTGACTCTTCTTTTTACCTTTTTAAATTCTATTCTCCCTCAGAATCTCAGCTTAAGTTATAATTCTTCTAGGACACTTTGCCTAGCTCCCCAAACATAAGTAGGCAACTTTTCCAAGAGCTATATAGCATAATGTTCGTTATTGCACTGATGTCCTTCTAATATAATTGCCTGCATGCTTGTGTATAACACTTAATAAGCTATGAGTTCTACTAGGGCAAGAACCATGATTAACAAATTTCCATCAGCTAGCATGTACCCGACACATAAATCCTAGTAAATACTGTATGTGTATGCTAAGATAAATTTGTATACTAAAACTTTACTGATAGGAGGGAAACTTCTGTAGCACTACAAAAGCAAATGTAGTCAACAAACCTTCCATGTCAAAATCTGCTGCAACCTCAGCATCTTCACCAAGCAGGGTAGAGCTTGTCGATGAAGGCAATGTGACACTGATTTTCTCTAAACTCATTTCTTCTTCCAAGTTTCTGATCCAGTCTGGACTTTTTAAAGTGATAGTTATAGTCCGATTCAATAGCTAATTAATAAAACATAAAATTTTAATTCAACATTACATCATACTGTCTACACATACAATTTCTATAGAATTTTGGCAATCTTTTAAGGAATCAGGAGTGAGTACTTATACTATAAAAGCATTGACTTGTGAGTGAGGGGCAGAATGGAAAAGAAGGGAAAAAAATAAAAACAAAGTTAATTACCAAGGAAAACAAAAAACCAATCCAGTGAGAAAAGAGCTGACAGAGAATGTCAAATTGAGAGCTGTTCTTTAGTATTTATTGTCATGGCATAAGGAAAAGCTTAAGAAATCAAAGCTAAAATTACATTTAAAAATCAGTAATTTTCTTTGTTTTTGTCTTTTTGAAATAGGGTCTTTGTATGCAGTTCAGGCTGACCTTGAGCTCACTTAGTAGCCCAGGCTGGTCTCAAACTCACAATGATCCTTCTGCCTCCACCTCCCTAAGTGCTGGGATTACAAGGGTGTACCACTACACCCAGCAAAAAATCAATAATTTTTATGTAGTTAAAATACAACAGTTGTAAGAAAAATATTTGCAACATATATGATATGGAATTATTATCTGTAACATAAAAGGAGCTTCAAAGACTAAACCCCACAGTGGAAAGATGGGCCTGGGTATGTAGCTCAGTGATGGAATAAATGCCCAGCATGTGTAAGGCCTTAGGTTCATAAGCCTACAACAACCCCCCCACACACACACAGAGGCTAAAGACACAAAGAGAAGTACAAGTGACCAATAAACAAAAAGATTGAACTTCTGGCAATCAAAATCTTAAAGCAGGAATGATGTATTCTCATTTTTTTTAGATTGTCAAAGTAAAAAAAAAAAAAAAAAATCCAGCATCAATTAGGATGCTAAAGAAAGGTAGTCGGTTTGAGCCCCACCATGCCGTACAGGTGAGGTGTGTTGAGAAGGTGATTGATACTGGCGTGGTGGCACACACCTGTAATCCCAGTGCTTGGGAGGCTGAAAAACAGAAAGGACCACTACAAGTCTGATCTGTGTAGTGAGGCCCTATAGACCCTGTACTACACACATTAAAAAAAAAATAGGAAAAAAAAAAAAAGGTAGTCCCAGGTATAATTTGGCAAAACTTTTCCAAAGGACAGTAGGGCAAGAAAAATCAAAATATAAAACTCTATGTATGTATCCTTTGACATAGAGAATTTTTTCCCAGCTGCTGTGCTCTGTCTAAGCAAGCGCTTTAGTCTGCTGAGCTATCTAGCCAGCCTGACATAGTGAATTTCTATTTACAATTTTATTATAGGAAATAATAGGATAAGCATGAAAATCTTTTAAGAAGCCAGGAATGAGTACTTATAGTGTAAAAGCCTAGCTTGAGGACAGGCAGAGTAGAAAAGCAGGGGGAAAAAACCCAGAGTAAATTACCAAAGAAAACAAACCAACCAATCCAATGGGAAAAAAGAACTGACAAAGAATGTTTCTGTTGTTGTTGTTGGGGGGACTGAACTCAAGACCTTGTTCTTGCCAGGCAGGCACTTATGCCACTTGAGCTACCTCCCTGGCCCAAGGATGTCAATGAGAGCTGCTCTTTAATTTTACATCTATGTGCCTCAAGGTGATGTGCTTGTCATCTATGGTAATTATTTTATCAAGGCTTGAAAAAGATAACTTAGATTAAGCATGAAATCAACAAAATAAATTCATAGGCATCATGAACAACTTCCTTTCTTGTTTTCTTATAAATAAAGCATTTTCTTCATTCAGTAGAAATCTTTTATATTACATACACAAGCCAGAATATCTATCCTTAATTAAAATTTTAAAACATTTTACATTACAAATAACTGAAATCAAATTAGCAGGTAAACTTTTTTTAGTCCATATTAATGGTTAATATCTCTAGAAAAGCATAAAAGTAACATATGACTCAATAATTTATATAATCTTGCTGCTGTACGCCTATAAAAATAAAATCTTAGACACTTCATTTCAGAATGGTTTAGAATCAACAAATATAACTTACCTCTTTACCATTTAGGCTCAGAACACTCAAGGCAGAGCTTCCTTCCAAAAATGTAACCCACATTTTATCTTCTACAAACCTTTAAGAAAAAGTTTTTAAAATGTAATTAATTCCTTAGAGAATCAGAGAGACACTGAAAATACATAAGGCTGACATGGGGTCAGGAGGCTGTGAGTAAGACCTATTCTTATTAGCTTAGCGAAACAAATTGCTGTGGGGAAAGAGCACCCTCTCCAGGTCACTGGCAGCCTTCCCTCCTTTCCTTTCTCTTCCTGGCCTCTGTGGACACAGGCCCCTGTTAACCAGTAATCACTGACTTCCCTGAAGGATACTCTCTTTTGATTAAAAAGATGGCAGGAAGTTGTCAGTAAAAATGAAAAGAAAATAAACAAAAAAAATCGTAAAATAAAAATAACAGCAACAAAAGAAACCTAAGTCGTCTCAAGGAGCCTTAGCTTGTGGTCTTTGCTCTTAGTCATTAACAGTTTTTACTCTTTTCTTCTCAAATGGTTTTTGCTATGTTCCTAAGTTGATAGTTTTGAAAGAATTCCCCCAAAATGAAAAATAAATAAACAGGACATTAGAGCACATTCTGAAGAGGATGGTCACTGATACCTAATAAGGTTTCTATGCAAAAAAAAAAGAGTAAAACAAAGTTGTCAGTCTTGTTTACAGAAACAATTCTGCAAGTTGAACCACGCCCAACTGTACAGAGAAAATATACAGCACTCTGCATTCTCTCTCTCCTTTCCTGCTTCCAGGATTCAAAAGTACCTATTATGGATATTAAGAGGAATATACACATGTACTTTATCCTTTTGAAATCAAGGGTGTAGTATAATTTTTATAGTGATTCCAAACATGACCAATGTACCTGATTCACAGTTTTTGGCATAAAGTTATGAAATTGCAGGATGCTGCCAGGAACATCTTTATTACCTAAATACCATGAAAGTATCTTTTCCCAGTCTTTGGTAATAGAGGATAACTCCATCCAAAAGTTATAAAATATTTAAGACCACACCATACTTCCCAAATTCAAGACATGTTTGTTCTTTCATAGTGGTACCAAATCATAATCCTATAGCAGCACTTATCTCTTGGTTCTTATGCTGTTATTAAAGTGCCTTACACTCATGTCTAACTTTACCAGGGGATTCCGATTCTCCCATTCATAGATTTACATATAACCTTTTGGAAATTGCATTTTCTTTTTTTTTTTTTTTTAATTTATTTATGTGTGTGTGTGTGTGTGTGTGTGTGGCCAGCTCAGCCCACTAGGGGGCGGGGCTGGCTGGCATGTGGTGCTGGGGGATTGAACCGCGGTCCCTGTGTTTTGCTAAGCTTGTTCTAAGTAGGTGCTTTAGCCCACTGAGCCATCTCACCAGCCCCGGAAATTGCATTTTCTTTTTCCTTTCACTATGCTAAAACCTAGATTTTCTCCTCATGTTAAGTATCTTAGTGCATCTAAATTTGTACATTTTCAGAGAACTTTTATTTAAATATAAAGCAGTATACAGATTTTGGTAACTTCTTAATGATTGCATTATTTTAAACTAAAAGGCAGTAATTCCATCTTACTGCTTGTAGTAATCTCTCCTTGTGTAAATTCACTGTCTGCTTTTTCTTTCCAACCTGGTTATTGTCAAATATAACAAATAGCATAGTCTATGTTTGCAGACACCCTAAAGTTTTATATTAGAGTAATACTTTTTTTTTTTTTTTTTACCAGTAACTCTCCTAATGATGACAAAATTGTAAAGAAAACTTGTGGCTCCAGTTTTGAGCTATGAGAACCCAGTGGGTCAGAAAAATAGACAGGTTGTTTCCATTTTCAATCTTATCCCTTCAACAATTTGGATTCACCCCAGCTCTGCGCAGTATTTTACATTTGCTCTGAAGACATTTATCTGTTACCCTGTTGCCCACTCGCACAGTCCACAAGATGTTGCGGGTGGTTTGGCATTTCTGCTCTTGGCAAAGCTTATCATCATCTGGAAACCTGAGAGATTTCATTATGTACTTCCCAGAACCTCAAAGTTTGAGAAATTATTTTATTTTTTCTTAAAGGTTTAAGGTAGATCATCACCAAAACATATGCAAGAAGTTAAATATAATTTCCTCTCCACTTGCTCTTTTACTCTGTGAAAGTGCCTGAGGTGTCTTGGACATGACATTTACTCTACAGAAACCTCACTATCTTAAATCTGGTCTGCACTGTTTAGAACCTAGGGAAGACACTAGGCTGATCTTCCCAACTGAATTATAAGAGGGAGCCACATCTTCAAGTTCTCCTCTGCTTTACTATGACACCTGCTATAGAGACTTGCCCACCAAAAATATATAAAACATATCTTAAAAGGCAAATAAACAACACAAAAATAATAGTACTTCTCTCCCTATTGATTTCAAATACATACACAGCATTAAGTCTCTCAAGATTGTTCTACATATGGAAGAGAACATTTTTAGAACAAGGAAAAAGGCACTGCTTCTACAAAAGGCAGATGGGCAGAGTAATGAGGAAAACAAGATTGGAGTGCATGACTCCTCACAATTCATCACATTTCTGCTGGTTGAAAATTGAACTTGCTTATTATTTTTTTTTAATTTTATTTATGTGTGTGTGTGTGTGTGTGTGTGTGTGTGTGTGTGGCCAGCTCAGCCCACCAGGGGGCAGGGTTGGCTGGCATGTGGTGCTGGGGGATTGAACCGCGGTCCCTTTGCTTTAGCTAAGCTTGTTTTAAGTAGGTGCTTTAGACCACTGGGCCATCTCACCAGCCCCGAACTTGCTTATAATTAAACATCAAATATCTTATATTGCCAGAGTAAAAGTACTTCCACTTTACTCTTTTCTTTCCTTAAAAAACCAAAATTATCAATTCACAGTTTCATTTTGTTTTAGGCTTTTTTATATATTCCACTGTATAGGAATTTTTGTCTTCAGTTGTTCATTATTGTTTCATTATTCGACTTAAGCTTTCTCAGCAGAGAAATCAGTTATTTATTTATTTTTTGTATTTTAGGGAAGGGTCTACAGGGTGTTCAGGGTCTTACTGCTAGATTGGATTCATAGTGATCCACCTGTTTACAGCCTCCCAAGAGCTGGGATTACAGGCATGTGCCACCTCGCCCAGTCTCAATTGCCGTCTCAGCTCACCCTGGGGGTGGAGCCAGCATGGCAGGCCCAGGGATTGAATCCCTAGCCTCTGTGCCTGCTTGTAGGTGCTTTAATCCGCTGAGCTATTTGGCTGGCCCTGAGAAATCAGTTTTAAAGCCTACCAGCTCTTTGAATAATATGTATAATATGCGTTCCTTTGGTTTGGGAACAGAAATCCCTTATATTATTGAAACACTAAATCAGGTGATTTCTAATATAGAAGCTATTATTTATGAATCATGAGCTACTTTAGGATAAAAAATATTTTGCTTACCTTATGAGTATAACTTCACCAAAATTTGCAAACTGCTGTAGAAGCTCATCAATCAAGGCATCATCAAAAAAATTATTTTCTTGTAAAGAACTTTTGATTGAGACCAATACTGTACCATCTGGTGGACCTTGCACTGCAATCACTTCTTTGTAAATGTTCTGCCTCTCTTCAGCTTCAACTTCAAATATATCTATATCAATCAGGGCAATGACAGGCCTTAAGGCATAAAGAAAGAGAGATGTATTAGAATATTTTTAAAAAGAATGTATTGTAAACTTCAAGTTCCAAGAAAAATATGCAAACTGTTTCAACCTATGGTCAGAAGTCTTCAGCTCAGCTCTTCCATAGTGCAGCAAAGTGCCAGGAGTCCATGTGTAGAGGATCTTGCTTTCATCTTGAAAGCTGGCATTTAGAAGATCTAAGTCTTCAGCTGCAATCAACAAAAAGAGCAAGAGCATGTGAGAAGGAAGGGTGCATGTGGAGCGAAGCTGTATCTCTTTTCTCAGTGTTGGCTGCCTGAGACTGGGATGCTGAAATATGCAACATGCTTTTAACAGGTAGAATACCCAGATACTTCTTCAAATATGCAAATTTTTTGGTCAACAAAATTCTTTACTATTTATTTTTTACTTATTCTTTACTTAGTAAAAATTAAGATGTCATATATCCAAGATTACTTAGAGGCTTATAACCAAATAGTGTCTCATAAATAATTTAACAGGTAAGTGGTAGCTCAAAATACAAGCAAACTACTTTAGTAACTCAAATTAAAAACCAGAGTTAACATTTAATTGAAAACTTCACAAAAAAGTTTCCTTGCTCCTTTTTATGTTACTCAAAGAAAATAGCAAAAAGATACTATTTTAAAAATCTACCTTACATTTGAGTTGTACTGTACTTCAGACAAACCTCTGTTGAGTAAAACTGCTCTCTTCTTCCATAATAATTTTATCATCCCCTTTTCCTCACACAATCCTCATTAATTGACAAATAAAGTTCATTTCCCAACCTGATCTATCAAAAGGCCACTTTCTCCTTCTCCAGAGGACACGGTCAGTCCATGCAGGAGTGCGACACTTCTCACTGGTGTCATAGTCATCCGAGAACAAGTCATATTTATAGGTTGGAGCAAAGGTAACTTTTCCCTCTAGAAATCCTCTAAAAATCTAAAATAAACATAAACAAAGTAAGTTATCTCCAAATGCATAAAAGTTATATTTTCAGACAGTTATTCATTAAATGTCATTATATGTGGGATACTCTTTTTTTCTTAATGTATTTAGTAAGGGTCTATAGGGTCTCACTACACAGCTCGAACTCATAGTGATCTTCCTGTTTTCAGCCTCCCAAGTTCTGGGATTATAGGCGCATGCCACCACACCCAGTTTCAGTTGCCATCTCAGGGGGTGGGGCCAGTACAGTATGTGGGGATCAAACCCTGATCCCTGCACCTAAGCACTGAGCTATCTGGCTGGCCTGTGTGTGGGATACTCTTGAGTTGAAATTTGGATCCAGCTATAAATACTTCCAGCTGAATGAAATAAAGCTTTTAAAAAAACAATTCAAGATATGGCCATTTTCATATCAATTTACTTGTTTCTGCACTTGAACAACTGGTGGTACATGCATGACTGTCCTGGGACAGTTTCATAGGGTAGGAAAGCCAATGGGACAATCATGCATATATAGCTTTGTCATGCATGTGCTATCCAAACTATGAAAATATGATTAAGGGAACTCCTTATCCATGAGCTATGACAGACATCTAGAACCATATAGGATTTTGGCAATCATGTAGCCTAGTATCTTATTCTCAAATGAGCTGAAACCTAAGAAGATTAAGTGGTACCCAGAGTGTTAAGAATTCAAGTCTGATGAACACCCCCACCCCCAGGTTTTTTTTTTTTTTTTTTCTGTATTTTAGGGAAGGGTCTACAGGGTGTTCAGGGTCTCACTACTAGATCGGACTCGTAGTGATCCTCCTGTTTATAGCCTCCCAAGAGCTGGGATTACAGGCATGGCCACCACGCCCAGTCTGCTCTCCCGCACTGCACCAAGTAGCTGACAACCACTTCTATGTCAAATTTATTTTTGAAATAAATACTCATAAAATCTTCTAGTAATAGGTTTAAAAAATAAGTTTCAAAAAGGTAGATGGCATAAGAAATACAATAAAAAAACAGCAACAAAGTATACTGTCCCAGCCAAGATTTTAAAACCAAGTCAGTAGCCTGAAAAACTAAAACTCTAAACTATTACTACTGTCTCCAGAAGACACATCCTTCTATTTGAAAGTGAATCTTACAGATATAACACATTTTTTTCTCATGTAAGTTTCCTTCCCTTCTCACTGTCTCTCTTAGAAAAATTCTTTTTTTTTTAAATAAATCTGAGAGCTTTTTTTTTTTTTTTGGTGGCACCAGGGATTGAACTCAGGCCCTTGAGCTTGCCAGGAAAGCACTTATTCTACTGAGCCATCTCCCTGGGCCCCAGGAAAATTCTTTATCTGTTTATTTATAGATACATACTTAGGCATAAATGCCCTTCAATAATTTTTTTTAAAAGAAGGAAAGACTGTTTTATAATTTAGTCTCCTCGGTGTATACTCTTCTCAGGTATGTGTGTACCTGTCCAGCATTCTTCTGATTGATAAGTTGATCTCCTGCTATAAGGGAATCCCAATTTTGCTGTCTTATGAGCTCTTTAACTTCTTCATTAGGAAGATCGATTCGATAGTTGAAGTCACCACACCAAAACACATAGTCATGAGAAAACAACAGCCTTCCCTGGAAACAATGAGATGGAATTTTAAATTCAAATAATTTTTAAAAACTTTTTTACCTTGTTTCTTGCCTCAGATACATACTTGCCTCCATATTGAGGCCTGTTTCTTTAACACAATAGTAACATGTGAAATATCTATTTAGGTGAATACTGGTGATATTTCTAAGAATGACCTTACAATTTTTTTTTTTTTTTTTTTTTTTTTTGTATTTTAGGGAAGGGTCTACACTGTGTTCAGGGTCTCACTACTAGATAGGACTTGTAGTGATCCACCTGTTTATGGCCTCTCAAGAGCTGGGATTACAGGCATTCACCACCACGCCCAGTCTCAATCAACTTCTCAGTGTGCCCCAGGGGTGGGGCTGGCATGGCAGGCCCAGGATCAAATCCTGGGCCCCTGTGCCTGCTTGTAGGTACTTTAATCTGCTGAGCTATTTGTCCTGCCCTACCCTACAATTTCAAAAACCTAATAGAGAATTGGAGCTAACGCACATTTCAAAGTTTTATCTTCAAGAATAAAGAAACATTTAAAAAAAAAAAAAAAGCAGAAGTTTACCATGGGAAAGCTCAGTTTTCGTGCTATTTCTATGAAATCTTCATTTCTTTCTTTGACTTGTGACTGTCCTGCAGCAAAGTGGCTACAGACAAAGCAGAGGCTGGTGGTGTGGAAGAGCATTCGGATTGCAACTGCTCCCTTATTTCCAGTCGCACCTCCCATCCCAGTCTTCACAGTATCAACTGCCACATCTCTGTAACCAGAGAATTCGAAATGGAAGATGACATTTCAATAGTTTCTTGTGCATAGAAAATTAGAGGACTACATATTACATAATCATATCAAAACTACATATCACATGGTACTTTGAGCACAGCTCTGTGAAATAGTACAGAGAAGCTCTCACTCAGTCACTCCTATCAAAGAAATAGTTTAACAGAAGAACTTTGAAACAACAAACATTTTAGGCCTTTTCATTTTATTTAATGGGAGGAAGTAGCTGTAGGAGAGTGTTCTGTGTACTGACCTTATGAAAGGAGCATGCTGCGGCCTGATAAAAACAAACAGACAGACGCCCACCAACTGCTCAGAAGCCAGCAGCACATACTTATTGTCTCTTGAGATTGTCTTCTGAAGTTCCACTGCCCAGAGCTTCTGATTTGTTGTGCTACCAGAAAATATTAAAGAGGGAATCTTTAAAAAGTTCTTATACTTCTATCTACCCAAATTTCTTAAGACTGAAATCTTTATGCAGGTTGTTTTTGTCTGTTTCCTTTAAAAAGGAACACTTGAAATTTAGCCAAAAGATTATCACACTTCAAAATCTAATCTACTATGCTGAGCTATAAAAGGCTTAAGTCAACAACTTCTGACATTGCCAGCCCTACAGATAACCCACTACTATTATGGACTACTGCACTATATTGGAATACTTTGCTGAATTCAGCCACCTACAATATTTAAATGGCAATGGAATACCCTTCTCTGACAAAACTAAACAAAAAAAGGGGATACAAAAGACGGACCATTTTGTATCTGTATATGCAAAATAGGATAGATATACAGCTACTTTCTCTTAATTCAATGAAAAGAAAGATTTGTACTAATAGTGCTTGGACAGGATATCATGTCTGCATCTTATACTATGAATAACCATTACAAAGATAACAATATGCAATGTATTAATTATTGAAACTGTCCTACTAGTCTGTTTTGAAACGGTCTCATTGCTATTTGTTTCTCAATAAGAAACAAAAAAAAATCTAATCTACATTTTCTTTTTTTTTTTTTTTTGCGATACCAGGGATCAAACTCAGGACCTTGTGCTTGCCAGGCAACCTCTTACTTCACCGAGGTATCTCCCTGGCCCATGTAAGCTTACTTTTGTGTAAGTATTCATGAGGGTCATGGAAAAGTATGCACCTTCAGATGACCCCCCCTCCAATTTTCTTATTTTTCTAAATTACAATTAACATCTTTTTACAAGAATTACTATGAAAAAATTTAAATATACACAGAAAAACAAAGAATATAAAGCAAATGGACATAGTCAGAGACTACTATATGAGTAAGGGACAAAAGAATCTCCTGGGCCCTTAACTTACTATTTATCAGAAGCCTAATTTGTGTTTTCTTCTGAGGCAGTCAGGGATTTAAAAATGATTTTTGCTAAAAACTGTGACTCTTTTCTTGGGCTTACAAAGGCCTAGTAGGTAACTAAAGGTAAAACAAAACTTGACCTTCACTTTTGTACCTTCAGTACCTTAAAATTTCAGAGAATGTTGTTATTCATTTAAAGTCAACAGAACAAAGTTTATTAGCTGTAGATTTACTTAGTCTATCTCACCCTTGTTTAAGGCACAGGAGACCATGATAAAAGTAAGTAAATTTCATGATTCTAGGGTTATCCAATTACCAACTTTTACAAAATCCACTTCTAGACCTCCCTTTCAATGCAATGCTTAAAAGTCTCCTGACACTGATCTTAACATGTAGCTACCTGGGTCCCAGGAAAAAAAAAGACCCATATGACTGAAACCATTGGCAAACTGACATAGTCACTTCATGGGAAGAGAATCACACCTCAAGCCAAGGGAATTTCTCCAGAGGTAAGAAACCAGGACTGAGATAATGATTAACCACACCGTGGCTCACCTTAGCTAATCCTTCAAAGCTAGCCTGCTTTGGTGGGTGGGATGGCCAGTCTGACCCTCCTCATGAGTGTGCCCCCTTTACTACTACTGAAGCAGGAGTCCTTTCCTATCTTCTCTCTTACAACTAAAGCTTTTATATGTAAATCACACCATCACAGTGCTTATTTCTATTATCACTAAAGCAAAGATTCACACTAGTGAATGAGAAAACCATCACAAATACATTAACAGCTTCAACATAATAAACATTCTGTCAATCTTTTTACCATCCCTCCTCACAATTTTTTTTATAAACCTATACTATTTTAGATTAAATCTACTACAGACATCATTTTGCCCATAAGTACTGTGAAACATATCTCTAATGTAATGGGATATTTTTTCACTTTTACATAGCCACAATGTAGTTATCAAAATATTAATAATTCCTTAATACTGTCTAAGAGCTCTTTTATTTTTTATTTTTTGGTACTGGGGATTGAACTTGGGAACTTGGAATCTTGAGCTTGCCAGGCAGGTGCTTATGCCGCTGAACTATATCCCCAGCTTAGAACTCTTATTTTGATTTCCTGAATTATCTAAAAAATGTCTTCTCAGAATAAAAAAACAAAAGTGTCTTCTTGTACCTGGTTCGTTTCTTTAAAACAGGCCAAACATGGCCTACACAATGCATTTGCTTATGTCTTTGAATCCTTTACCAACCCTCATAACTACTGCACTTCTCTCTGTCCCTCACTATTTCCTTTACACTGCTTGCTGCAGGAGGTTGATTAAGAAACATGTTTGAGTGTTTACGTGATTATGGTGGGGAGAATATCCTCTGGGGTGATGCTGTGCATTCTCACTGCACCATGGCAAGAGGGACATTACCTCTGCAATGTTACAAATGGTTGAGTCTAACAGTTCTCATTATGCCCTCTCCTAAGAATTCTGCATCTGCTGATGAGCACTACTCAGCTCATATTTCATTAGGAGGTGCAAATGTTGATTTTGTAATTTCAGTATCCAAAGGCAATTCCTCTGCAATACTGTTCATAAAAGAAAGAATAAATGCTTGATTCCTTTTCTTTATCTGTGAAGAATAAGCATAGAAACCTCCAAATGAGAACAAACACTCTTTTCTCATTGTTCTAGATCACACATGTGTTAAGTGGAAACCAGAATATGACTTCACTTCCATCTATTTAGTTTTTTTTTGTTTTTTGTTTTTTGCAGAACCAGGGATTAAACTTGGGACCTTGTGCTTGCCAAGGAAACACTTAACCTACTGAGCCATCTCCCTGTACCCTTTTTTTTTTTTACTTTTTTTTTGACTTCCATCTATTTAGTACTCTGCATTTTACCTCCAAACATGGACCCCCTCCCTACCATAACCCCACCACTTTTTAACATGAATTTAGGAAAGAAAATGACAATACTATCTTTTCCTCAAGTCAAGAAGTCATCTTCTAAATAAATAGACTCTTCATCATTCCATTTAAAATTGCCAACACTGCCTACTTTCACAGACTTAGTCTTTCTTACTGTCATTTATTTTCCACAATAACTTTTTTAAAACACACTTTATAATTTATTTATTGTAGTTATTGTTCATTGTCTCTTTCAGCTCAAATGCAAATCCCACAAAAGCAGGTTTGTTCTGTAGTGCTGAAATTGAACCCAAAGCCTCACACATGCTAGGCAAATGCTCTACCACTAAGCTATATTCCCAGACTGAAGGCAGGGATTTCTGTACATTTTATTCACAGAAGTGTATCTTTACTACCAAGAGTATATGATCAATGGGTATTGGCTAAATAACTGAGTATCTCCATTAAAGAAATATTTTGTTACACTCTACTTAGACAAGTAATTAACCAATCTGTTTGGTATCAGAAGCAATAAGAGTTAAAAAAAAAAAGAAGCAATAAGAGTATGTTCTACTTTAACAGCAAAATATTTATTTTCAGCAAAGTTACTCTTATAACAAAATGAGTAAAGTCAGATTTCTTTTCTATTTTCCTGATTGAATTGTTATTCCCTTTGGCAAAGAAAACACTTGCTAATGCAATATTGATAGCTGTACCATATTTCAGTCCATAATTATGTTTTAGAAATTTTTAAAAATGTCACAACTACTGAGAACTACTGACATTTAAAAACAAACATTATATTAAAATAAAACACTTTCAGTTTCACTCGTATAATTTGTACGTGTACTATGGCTTTAGAGCAGTTCTCTTTCTATGGTCTGGAGGCAACATCCCTGGGGATTCCTCAAGCCAGTGGTGTCAAAACTATTTTTCTAGTACTATTAATACACTATTGTCTTTTCCAGTATGATGAATAAAATTTTTACTGATGGTACCATCAACAATGGCCACAGGTGTTGATTTTCTTCATTGAAGCCAGGCTCCAAACTATACTAGATCTTGTCATGTACTTGTAAAAAATGCCACTTCCATTAAGAATGTTCTTGATTAAATAGAAAACATTATCATTTTATGTAACTCAAATCCTGAGTCCCATCTTTCCAACATAGACATTCCTTGAGTAACAAAAAAGTTCCATTCCTGTGGTTATATCATAAATGAATTGGTTGCTAAATGAGGAAGTATATATGCACACAGCAAGACTCTGTCTCAAAAAAAGTATACCTACTTGAAAAGAAAGTATCTTTTTTGTTTGTTTGTTTGTTTGTTTTTTGGTGGAACCAGGGATTGAACTCAGTTACATTATCCAAGTTGATCTTGAATCACCATGTAGCCTAGGCTGGCTTTCAGCTCATGGCAATCCTTCTGCCTAAGTTATCCTGAATACTGAGATTATACTTGTGCTTGCCAGGCAAATACTTATTCTACTGAGCCATCTTCCTGGCCCCCAAAAGAAAGTATCTTAATGACCTTTATAGATAATTTCTTCTCTAATTGTATATCAGAACTCAGCAAATGGTGTCTGAACAGTTATTTGTAAAATAAAATCTGAAACCATATCAATGGACTTTTTTTGCTTTGTTTATACTAAAGTTGTAAGTTATTGGTCAGGGCCAAAAGAAACTGATGAGAAGACCCAATGAATATAGCTTTAGAGGTCTCACTGAGATTAGTCTCTCTCTAAGTGAGCCCAGAGCCACAGAAACATCTTACATGTATTGAAAGCTAAAGGCGGGCTAAGGAATGTGCATAACTACTTTGGAGAACACAAACTACTCTATTGACTTCAGGCATTTATTTATCTAACACTAAATTTACACAACGCTAGCCATCAACATCCCAAGCAAGGGATGAAACAACAAACAGGGCACCAGCTGGAGAAGCTGTTATCTGTAGCTTGAATCTCAGCTTGCCGGAATTTATAAGAGAGACAACAGTTCTCCTTGGGCTCTGTGTACTGCTCCTGGTTCCCTCAGGACATCAGGCTTTTGTCTCATATCTATATTACTACAAAAGTTCACTCATCTTTTACCCTTGCATGATTCAGTATCACTTTGTGTTGGTTATCTGAAAACGTTCACTGGGTTTACTTAGTGATGCAGCCCTTTCAGATTCTGACACACCTTGTTATATAATACCAAGCATCCTATTGGCTAATACAGTATCCAGGTTGATCTTGAATCACCATGTAGCCTAGGCTGGCTTTCAGCTCATGGCAATCCTTCTAAGTTATCCTGAATACTGAGATTATACGTATGTGCCACCATGCTTGGCTGCTACTGTTAACTTTAAATTAACCTTAAAATTTTTTCAGTTTTAATTTGTAACATAACAAATATCAAGAAATGTAACCCTAACAAAAGTTATTTGACATTCTCAATATTTTAAGGAATAGAGAATCCTCAGAACAAATACTTCAGAACTATTTTATGGTTTAAAAAGTGCCTTTCACATATATCATCTCAATCTACCTTTTTAATAATGTCTTAGTTACTATCTTCCATGTCCCTCAACACACAAAAAATTTCAGCGTTGTTATCTGGCAGCTTACCTTGCATTCACAATGTTTCCAGCATTCAACTCTACCATTTCTTCAAAACCAATTGCAAATATATCTGTTGGCTTACTTCTTTTATCTATAATTAAGCATCCAGGAAATAATTTTAAGTACTGCCCTAGTTAAAGGCCAATACCACCCTACATAACACAATAACAACTATCAAAAATGCATTTTTACTGAGTTTAACCAAAGACATAATAAAGGTAATAACTTAGGAGATCACATTATAATTTTATTCTTTATTAAAATCCCTTAAATTTCCTTAAGATTGTTATCCTTGGAGTTCCCTAGGTACTTTTCAGAAACCATTTGGAAAGAGTCCCTGCTAGAGCTTGTACCACAGACAGCCGAGAAACCACTTCTAAAAGGTTAAGACCAAAACCAGAGAGGTGAAGGAATTATTCAAAAAAGCACAAAAAATAAAGTGGCTAAGAAACTATTTCAAAGTGTAGATAACAGTTAGGAGGGATTTTCTACATTCAAATTTGAAGACCATGATCTTGATCTTTTGAAGACCACAACTCTGTTCCAAATAGAAAACAACAGTTCAGAAATAACAGGGACTAATTCAGTCTATGAACACACTGCCTTAATGAAGCTGTTTCAGAGAAGCAGCCTGGAAGCACTTAAGTGGGCCCACATCTACAGAAATGAGGGTAAATAGACTAATAAGCTTATAAAGCCTATGAATACTGAGAAGTAAAATTAATTCACTGAGTGCCATAGTGTACATAGCTCCAATTTATGTAATTTTTAAACTGCCACAGCAACGACTCCTAAAATAATTTTACTCTCTTTTATATAGAGAGAGTAAGCCGAGGCTTTATAAAACCTAAGTAACCTGCCAAAACATTAAGCTTGTGGTCTCCAAAATTTGAACATGATAAATCCCTCTCCGCTGTTATCTCTAAGTTGAGGTCATTTCTACTGTGCATGACCATGAACAGGTTACTTCCCTTTACGCATTTCAGGTTCCTCATCTGTAAAACTCTAATCTAAATAGTCTCAGAATAGGTATAGGATAAGGGCTAGTTTAAAAATGCTAAGTGCTTAGAACAATAGTGTCAGCTATGTATTTTATTACTATTGTTATTACTCCTACTTCCAGGAACTTGGATTAATCTAAGTTAAAAGGGGCATCTTAATAGAAAGTCCAGGGGAAGGGTCAGGATGTCTTGTGTGCTGATTAAAAGAGGCTCTGTGTCATGTCATTCTATTTCTGATACACGCAACCTTCATGTGTAATACTGGTAATTATACAGTATTTTAAAATAAATGTTGGTTTTTTTTAAAAAGAGGAAAGTCTTAAATTTCTGATTTTAATCAAAATGATAATGAAAAGATCCTTAGCTAAAATGTTTGGTTCTGGGTGAACAGCTTGGCAGAGAGCCCAAAATGAATGACAACCAAGATCTGACAAGGATAAACTGGTACCATTAAGTTACAGGTACCAACAAGTATCACAGATTTTGTAAGCCTGCTTACAACCCAACCTAACTGTTTTTGTTTTGAGACAAAGTCTTGCTATGTTGCTCAGGCTGGCTTTAGACTTACTATGTGATCTAGGCTGGCTTCAAACTCAGGGCAATCCTCATGCCTCAGCCTCCTGTGAGGGGGGAATTATAGGTACATGCCACCATACCCTTCTGACATTTCTTAACTAAACAGAGGGCTACAATTATAAAATGAGACATACTAGTCTTTAAAAAAAATGAAATTATCAATTACAAAATAACCTACATTCAGATTGATTTAAAAGAAAACTAAACTAATTTTTCTTACATGCATGGCTACATTCAAAACTATCCATTTACATACGAATCCCTATTTCCTAAGAATCAACTATCAAAAATAGTTTTTATTTTGCCATTATGTACTTTCAACCAATAGAAAACAAAGGCCTAGAAATAAAAGAGGTAAGATTTTAACTGATTCAATCTATGAACATACTGGCCTTCAAATTTATAAAAAAATTAAAAGTCTGTTATATGAATTAATGAATATTGTGATGTGCTACTTTTATTTTCTGGATCAATAAACTATGGTCAGGATTTTAATTAGCCTTGTCTTATAAAAAGCCAACCTTGAAACTCCTGGATGCCTGCTAACTTGGGTGCATCCAGAAGCCAGTCAGTGAGCGTCTGGTTCTTGAAAGCGATGCTGCGAAACTGCTTTCCACCATTCACGTTCCAGGTCCCAACACATACTCGAATTTTTTTTGGCTTTGAATACTTGTAGAAGTTCTCACACATGCTCTTTAGTACTTTTGAAGATGCTAATCAGAAACAAGATACAGCAGAATTTTAGCTGCATCAAACCATTCAGGAAAATTGATTTTCTTAACAGAGAGAGGAAGCCTGGGAAGCACAATTACCAGCGCAAGCACACACAGGGCCACATGCACAGCGCAGCCTTGACAGCAGCACCAGCGGGGGCAGTTATCCAACACTTAAAAAAAAAAAAAAACCGATAAACTCAAATATACCCAAATTTGAAAAGAGAGTATTAAAAATTACTATAGCAACATGAAACATGCAGACAGCTCTTTTTCAATGAAATGGTACACTATTTTATAATGTACAAAGCCTAAGAACTGTACATTTTTAGGAATACTGCAACTGATTTTCATACAATTTACACAAAGCTGATAAAAAATACAAAATTCTCCCCCAAACGAAATCATTTAAGAAGATCTAAGATTTCTAGCTACTGATTAAGTAGCTTGATGAAAAATGGCTCCTTGACAAAGACAGACATTATGGAAGACAATGACATATCTAAAAATGAAATCTAAGTGCTTCCCATCTCACTCAGAATAAAAGCCAAAATTCTGAACAATGGTCCACAAGGCCCTAAATAATTTGTCTCTTTTCTGCCCTCATTTTCTTCCCTTCCTGCACACCTAGTGGTCTCCCTGCTGTTCCAAAAGTCTTGCTCTTACCACAAGGCGTTTGGCTGGCTGTCCCACCACCTGCAGCACTCTGCCCTACATCTTGCAGGTCTTTTCAGTGAGGCCTTCCCTGACTACCTCATTAACTACCATTATTGCCTTCTTACTTATTTTTCCCTAGAAACTATACATAGGCTGAGCATCTCAAACCTGAAAATTTTCCGCACCAACATGATGCCCAGGAGCATTTAGAATGCCAGGTAAGGAATGCTGGATAGGTAAAATCTATGAAAATATCCAAAATCCAAAAAACTTCTGAAACATGAATCACTTCTGTCCCCAAATATTTCAGATAAGAGATACTCAACATGTATTTTATTTATTTTTCCTAAAACTATCACCCTTTTGATAATGGCAACTTCAGGAGAATAGAAATGTTAGTCTGGTTTGTTAACTGCAATATTCCCAGTAACAAAAAGTGTTTAGCCCAAAATGAGCACTCCATACATAAATGTTGAATGGATAATGTTCACTATAGTCTGATTCTTCAGTCGCTCTCTTGCATATTTTCTGTCTATCATCTATCTCTTCCCTCTTCTAAACCACATTCTATACTGGCACTTAAAAGTAGAGAGACTCTAAATAGAACCTCAACCTAAAACCACAGAATTTGTATTTAATTGGCAATTAGTTGGTAAGAAGAAAAAGAAAACAAATCTACTTTCATTTTGGCCATATAATCTTAATGATATTTATTATCTTATAATATTACAAAACAGCAGTCTCCTGAAGAAATGAGAGGGGAAAAGTAACATTTGAGTATTACTATGAATACAGTTTTAACCTGTGGACTCCCCAGAAGACACTGTTGATTAGGAGGATTCCGAAGGGAACTTAAGTGGATTTCTCACTATCTGACTATTGGATTACATGCAGAAGATGTGGGTAGTAATAAATGCAGATTATTAAACAGATTATTTCTTCTCACCTATTAGTCTGGCTAACTGAAAGCTGACTGTAACTAGATAAAAATCATTTTCTATTGCTATGGTTTATCGCTAGTCTTTATAATTAAAGTCACTCATTAATACTATGAAAACAGCTTTTATATTCTGCCTCATGTGGAGATATAAGTTCTATGATCAAACAGCTTAAGACACTTGGCAGGAAAGCAAAGATCAGAGTGAAAAAAGTTGGCCTGACTGTATGAATGAATAAAGTCAAATGATTTTTTAAATGGAATAAAATTATATACATATCCTGTTCTATTCTTAACTCATAGGAAACTTTATGTACTTAAAGACAAGAGTCTGTGCTCAAACAGATGTCCATCTCTACATGCTGTATCATTTCGGAGCACTGTTCATTACATCACCCAAGAACATAGCCAAGTACTCCCTTTCCTACTCTTCTAAAACAAATATGTATAACCGACAGCCTCTCAAAAGATTCTGAACAATAACTAGGCAGACAAATCATATTCATTTAAAAAAATCTATTTATTTAGTTATTTATTGGATATAGGGTCTTGCTATGAAGTTCAGACTCATAGTGATCCTTCAGCCTCATCCTCCCCAGTGCTGGGATTACAGGTGTGTGCCACCATGCCATGGCATGTGGTATCGGGGATCCTCAGGTTTTTGCACTTGCCAGGCAGACCAACTCATCTTTAAAGAGAGAACCCTAATCCTTGTCCAGAGCATAAAGAGGTGAGATTCCTATGATTAAATAGCCACGATAAACAGAAGCTTTTTTTTTTTTTTTTTTTGGTGGTACTAGGGATAGACACTTTTCACATGCTGGGCAAGAGCTCTACCACTGAGCTACATCTTCAGCCCTTCTCATTTTGAGGCAGGGTTTTGGTAAATTGCTCAGTCTAAGCTTGAACCTGCAATCCTCCTGTTTCAGCATGCTGAGTAGCTGGAACTATAACTGTATACTACCATCTCTCAGAAACTTTTATCTCTTATTTAACTCTTCTGATTTTGTTAGTTACCTAGGTGCTTTTTACTATTAATGAATTTCAGAACATATTTTAGTGGAGGTCTGTGGTTCCAGAAAATACGCCATCCACAAAGAATAAGATGAGACAATGCTTTCTTATATATTGTACATAAGAGACTCTACTGAGTAGTCAGTCATATATAGCACAGATATACCTTGAAATTAATCTAAAATAGATACCTGGGCTTTTTCCAATAGCTAATTAAGAATAAGGTATAACATTAAGAATGTTCAAAGAAATAAAAAAGTGAAATGAAAACTAGCTGAATTATTTCTGTAATTAAGCCTTTGATGCAGGAATAGGTACTGTATATTTCCTACTGAATAAAATACTTAATTTCTACAAACTTAAAATGTTTTACTCATAGTAGAAAATATCAATTAACTTGTTAGATTCTAAGTACAAAATGAGAAAGTCTCCAGTTGTACCTCTTTATTTGTATACAGTATCACCTTTAGAAAATAAATAAAATGTTTTCATTTATAAATTGATTTTCTATACTGTACCTGACTGTAATGTCTGTTCAGAAACTATGGATGCATCAAGAAGAAAACAAAGAGTCATTAGTAAGACAACAAGTTAACATCTAGAGTGTTATGATAAAACATTCTGAGATGGTTCACTCTCTTCTTTCAAGTCAATTTGATGCTTGATATTTTTTCTGATGGCTATAGGAAACCAAGGATTATAAATAAATGACAATAACTAATACAAACCCTCTGTATTGGAGGAAATCCTATAGTCACTCCATTTCACAATCAGAAGTTCCTACATCTGCTCTTTTAGCTGCTCTTGTGTCTGTTTACAGGCGTACATGTGCAAATGAGAACATGATTATGAAAACCTGGGAAGCTAAAGGATACTGAAGATATGGAACGTATTGTCCTAATATGTACTATTTTTTTTTCTGGGACTCGCCAGTTGGTAAGTACCATCAGTTCAGCAATAACAAAACATATGTATTTGAAAAACATCACACACTATGCAAATCTGTACAAATTCCCATGAAGCTAACAGGAAAGATGGGATTGGGGGTACCAGATTCAAAAACCTTAATAGTGACACACCAAAGATAGGAACTCAAAAAAGCAGTATGGCATTATGCATCATACATGGTTATGAATGTGTGACTACTACAATAAACAAGGCACTTCATCTTGAAAAATATGAATTTGGCTTGTAGAAATAGCCACCAGAAAGGAATAATTGTGAATAATGAATGATGTCAGAAGACTCATCAGAAAACATAAGATGTGGAAGAATGTGGCTCATAACACATGTGCTAAACTGGGGTAGGGAAGATTTGTCAGGTGTGAACATAAGTATATGAGCATTTTATACATTTGTACCCCCATGTTGGTTGTTTGGTATATTTTTAAAAATTTACCTAATGTTGCTTGCTAGCAAAATCAAGTATAATAAGCTCATGCAAAACTGGTTTTATGCTCCATCATTCCCTAATATATCAACCATGTTGGAACAAAGTCTAGTCTCAGAACAAGCATCATAGCAGAACTGACTATACTTTTTATATTTAAAGGCACATTTTACATAAATAGTAAAATGTGTGTGCATAAATAGTAAAATGTGCAGGAAACTAAAAAAACTGATGCTCAAGTTTGGGAATTACTTGGGTACCTTGCTTTACTTTCCTTCAACCACTTACTTTCAATTGTTGCTTATTAAAGCCTCCACATCAAAGCAGGCACAGGTGGAAAGAGGTGACAAAACATAGGTAAGTCAGTCTCTACTTTTGGAAGCCAGAAAGCAAGCCTGAAGTTGAAAGTAGCACCTAAGATCAGATTTCCTTTTGAGTCTGAGTAGATCTCAGTCTCCTAGACTACTTACAGATCCCTCAAGAGCTGGCTGTCCTACCTTCAGGACACCATGTGGACTTCTGGCAGTCAATTATCACCTACTTGGTCAAAGAATTAACCAAGAAGCTATATGATGTAGGAATAGTTTTCCTCTATTTGAAAAAGGAAATACAAGATTTGATTTGGCACAATCAGAAAAAAAAGTTCATAATGCTATCTGGTTAAAGTGAGAAAAAATAAAATTAAAGAAGTCTAATTTTTTTTTTTATTTTTAATGAAGGTTGGAGGAACAAAAGGAAGTCTAACCTATTAAGTCTGTAATAAATGTGGAGGTTTCTCATAATATTTTTATGTGCTCATTGATATGAGAAGCTCATATCCTTTTGATATGAATAAAAGATGTATAAGGAAAGGTTAAAAAAAAAACTACCTTGAAAATCATATATTTATTTCAAATGCTAAAATTAGTAATAGTGGTTGGTGTGACCAATAATAAGCACCATCTTAAATTATTAATTAAGATAATTTAATGTTTATTTGAAACAAAAGCAAAAGACCAAGTTAAGGAAACATGTGGAATAGAGATTAGAAAAATAACTAATATAGGTAATGGTTTTTGTCGATAAACCTTTTTTGTATAATGAGATTAATGGATTGTAAGTGCTAGCTGAATATTCTATGAAATCCGGACTATAAAGTTAGAAATACATAGGCTAGTCTCAATCATAATCTATAGAAGAAAATATTTAGCCAGGATATAATATATTTTAAAACAGACAAACTTCCACTGGAGAATGCCATTTTAAAAAATCACTTTTACAGAAAATTCTTTTAAAACTGTTTTAATTAATTAACTACAATTTAAAAATTATTTCTATAAATAAGTTCACATGTGTCTCTTAGACTTTTATCATAAATAACAAAAAAGTAATTAAAATAAGTATGCATACCACGCAAACTCCCAGTAGTTAAAAGTGCTCGAGCCTTGTCAGCTAAGTCACTATTGAGAGTGTTTCCTAGCAGCAAGACATCAATGGCCTCTTGCTTGGAGCTGTCAAAGAAGTTATTCTGAATTGTTCTGGTGACCGAACGAGCACCATCTTTTAACTTTCCACCCTGTTGAGGGACAAAGCAGCATGAGTTTTTATTCCAAACATTGTTGATCACACAACTTTAAATTGGTTTTATATGATTTTAGTGTAAAAAAGAACCTAATATTATATTTTGAATTTATAACCCACATAAAAAGGTCTCAACATATCACTGTTTTATTTCCCATATTGGATACTAGTTCTGCACAAAACAATAAAAAGCTAAGTGCGGGGGCTGGGGAGATGGCTCAGAATAAGTGCCTGCCTGGCAAGCACAAGGCCTGAGTTCAATCCCTGGTTACACACACACACACACACACACACACACACACACACACAAAGCTAAGTGGTACAACTATATCTATTAGTGCTATTTAGAGAAATAAATGTTAAAACTTTATTATAAATAAAATAAACATAAATGTACTTATTTAAAACAAGGATCTTCTTGTTACACTTACTTTTAGAGATGGGGATGGAATGGGTAAAGAGAAATGAAAGATGATGTATGGAAGTTACAGAATCCTATAAAAGTCTCAAGTTACTTTGACAGCAGAAAAATAAAACTGCTCCTAAATAACTGACATTAGCTAAAACCAAAGCATAATCTAAGACTGAGGACCTAACAAGAAATTTATAGTTATACCTTATAAATATCAGATATAAGCTTAATTTGTATATTGTCATTTTGTTGCCTATACAACTAATAAAACATTACCATGAGAGCTAATTATAACTTTCAGTGACCACATTGCTTACTTAGGGATAAGTAACATTGGTTATTACAAAGAAGTTTTATTTTGATCTTTTTTTTTTTTTTTTTTTTTTCGGAACCGGGGACTGAACTCAGGCCCTTGCGCTTGCCAGGGAAGCGCTTATTCCACTGAGCCATCTCCCCAGCCCCTTTATTTTGATCTTACAGTTTTGAATACCAAAATTGTTTTGTTTTTTTTAAAAAACCTCTTCAAAAAAACTTCTTGTTTTTTAGAAAATAATTTAGTTGTCAATATGTAGTTTTTATCCCCTAAAGTAGTAAGAGTAATTAGACATTTCAGAATAAAAAGTCGATTTTCTTAAATGCCACTAAATGAGTATCATTATACTTAATCAGCTACTTAAAACTGGCATTCATTAAATGTTCTTTCCCTTCCATATGATAACATACACAAATTATCGAAAAAACACTCACCATTCACATTATCAGGCAATTAATCAAAAGGAACCCAGAGAAAGGAAAAGAAAGCAGTTCAGATGTTAGATTTTAGCTCAATTCAGACTAATACATTTAATCAAGATTTTATAACTATACATTAAAGGTAAAAGACCACTGAAAATATATGTAACCTCTGTACATATACTGTCTTAGTCACAAAAGAAACAGAAAGGCAGAAGAATATACAAGAATATATTTAAGCAACCATGTAGAAAATAACTATTTAATTCTGAGATTTATATTCTCAATCTAAAAGAAATAAATGAAAGTTTAACAATTTAAGAAGTAAATATTTGTAAAAGCCAATACAAATTACTCCTAAGAACTGAGCAGAAGGAACTCCAGGCAAGGTCAATACTTGTGGGCAGAGGCGTGGCATTTGCAGAAGACAGGAAAGATCTGGAAAGTGAAAGAAGTCTGGGAGAGGACAAATAAATGGTATTTATAGAATTTCAGCTGCTGTATTAAGGAAGCTGAATGAAAATTCTAAAAGTAGTAATTATTCTTATTTCTATTCCTGAAATATTTCAGGGGGTATATAAATTTAGAACGTTAACAAATCAAGTGAGATCAAGATCTCTTAAAAAGTTTAACAATATTTAAGTATAAAAACAGTGAAAAATATCGCAAGTATAGTCTTAAAATACCACAGTAATGGTCAATACTAGAAATAAAAGTAGTCTACACACAATAAAAGCAATTAAAATTTAATGATGAGGCCCAAAATTATAGGGGGCCTGGCCCTAGCTCAGTTCTTTAAGTGGCTGTTTCCACAATGCTGGCAGCCTCAGGTTGCTCTAGTTCGATCCCCACAACACTCCAGCCAGCCAAAAGTGCCCTGAAGGCATTCGAGGAGAAAAAAAAAATCCTTATTCCAAAATTATAGTTAGGTTCATATCTTCCCTATTTTTGGCACATTCCTTCTCAGCTTCCTTTTCATGTTAGTAAAGTAAGTAAAATGATAAAAACTAAATAACTGTGCCCTAGTAAGGTTGAGCTCATAGTCCGTATTATACAAACTGTCAACAGACTTATTTGTTCATCCAGCATTTGTCACACTTTAAATAATATGAACTGTGTCAATGCAACAGACACAAAAACAAGTGAGACAATACTTTATTAAGAGGACTGTTGTTGAAATAATAATATTTAAAATCAGTATCAAGAATCTAAACAGTAGGGGCTGGGGAGATGGCTCAGAAGGATAAGCGCTTGACTGGCAAACGCAAGGATCTGAGTTCAATCCCCGGTTCCGGAAAAAAAAAAAAAAAATCTAAACAGTAAAGCATAAAAAATAAGCAACATAAATATAGAGGCTGATTACTAAATGACTATATATGTCATATATACCTATCCCCTCAAACTTAAGGAAGTATCTACATTTCATTTAATCATTAGTGCCTACTACAGAAGGAAGTTTTAAAGAGGACAAAAAAAGCATGATAAAACAGAATTCTAAAATATATCTTAACTTAAAAAAATCTTTTAGTTCAAAAAAGGCCATTTAAGAGCTTTGTTAAAAGAGGAAAAAGATGATCTTTAGTAATATATAATAGGTCTAGATCTACCTTAGCCTTCCCTTCAAGAGCTCCAGTGCCTGCATATATCTTACTGATTGAATCGCCATTCACAGACCACATGGACCGAAAAACTTCTTGAAAGCGAGTCACCAACTGAGGCTTTTCAGCCAAGCCAAGAGCCTCCAATTGTTTAGTGAGCATCTAAAACAGTAAATATGAGCGATTTTGTAAGTATAATAATAAATTAATCATAGCATGACTAGCACAATAAAAATATAATACAATGTTAAACTGGACTTTGAAAATATTAACATTTTACTAGGCTAAATGTGTTCACTTTTCCAACATTGCAATTTTTAAAGTAAATGCCACATCAATGAAAATGACAAGTAATTTAGTATTCCCTTACATTAGGGAATTTCTTTCTGGTTAAATGATAAAACCAATTTTAAAGTACCTGTATAAATCAGACTAGTTTCCCTTGCTCACCTAAATAACCTAATTAATTAACAGTGGACATTTTAACCAAGAAAAATATACCCAAAAATATACAGAAATAACAACGTTTCTGGATAAATAACAAACTTTTGGATTTGGTTCTACAAGTTTAAGTAATTAAAGTTAAGAGGTGATGAAAAAAAATAAGCCACTATTAAGTTGTTGAAGAAATAAAATACATTATATCCTGACTATAGAGCCATGATGGCTCTTTTACATATACAATCTTATCAATAATGTGTATAAAGGAGAACCAGAAAAAACCCTGTAAGCCTATAAGAAACTGACAGACTTTTGGGCCACCAGAATTCCATTTTAAGTAACCATTAGTGTTCAGGAAATTACCCATCTTCACTCTGTGTTTTCTAGACTTGAAATTTAGCACAAATAAGATGTAACTGCTATCTAGTCTGTTTTTCTAATAATATCTATCCCTTGCATTTTTACTTACTGCCTTCCCATTTAATTTTTATCTGTTAAGATTATCCATAATTATAAAAGAATTACAACTAAAGTAATATTAACCTCAATAGGTTCATTTTATTACATACTTCTTATACCAGAGCTGTTCTTTGTTAGCAAGTAGAATAAAACAAGACAAGTTATCAGGACCTCTTTTATGACTTAAATCTTTCTCTCTTCAAAGTAATGGGAAAAAACAATTTATCTCACTATTTGGTTTTCATATCTTAGCAGCAGATTTTGTAACCAGCCAACCAAATGCTATTGTATTTTCACGTCTAACAGTGTGAAACTCATCTAGGGCCAATCCTGAAATCTAACACCTGTTCTACTTTTACTAAGAGTTTCAAGTATTTCAATAAGATTACACAGAAACTATGTAATTGCATCCAGTTACTTAAAACCAGAAGCTGAAATACACTTGAGCCATGTGATAAACTAAACAACCAACATGCCTTCTTTCATTTTTCATCTATGACATGTTTTCTAAATAATAATGGTAAACTTCAATGACAGATTTCAAAAATAAAGCAGTAAAATTTATTTAGTTACATAAAAGTACATTTCTGCAGAGAATTTTATACATTTTTTAAAAAGCAGTATGTAGTATTAAACTCAGGGACTTCACACTGAATTACATCCCTAGCTCTTTGTAAATTTTTGAGATAGGGTCTTTATAAATTGTTCAACTGCCTAGGCTGGGCTCAAACTTGCAGTCGTCCTATCTCAGGTTCACCAGAGTGCTAGGATCTCAGCATGTACTACCATGCCCAGTTTATACTTCAGTTTTGAGAGGGAAGCTCAGTCATATAGTAACTAACAAATACCCTGGTCAAATTCAGGGGTTATTAAAGATCAAAAGTTACTTCCTATTCCTGTTTATATAATACTTGGGAAGTATGCTAAGCTTTTCTTTGTTTTGTTTTGTTTTTCAGATAGGGTTTTGCTATATAGTACAGGCTGGCCTTGAACTTGGTATGTAGCCCAGGCTAGCCTCCAACTCATAGTAATCCTCCTGCCTTAGCCTGAATTCAAGTGCTAGACTTACAGGTATGTGCCACCACACATGATGATTATGCTAAATTCTTGTGGAACTAAATTAAAATCTACTATAACCTGATAATACTAATTTGTACAACAGAGAAGACTCAGGAAACTCAGTATTGCTACAAAGTCTGTCAAATAGTTAAGATTGTATTTATGCTGTATTGAAGTCTGACATATAAAGAGTAAGAAAAAATGACTTTTAAATGACACCTTATAGGAAGTTGAATCTCATTCATTTTCATCCAACCCTCTTTTTTTTGTAGGCTCTTACTTGAAAATGTCAGGCAAACTGAATTAAGTCACACTGTCAAAAAGATGATCCTATAGGACTATACATGTGAAGACAGACATTTTCTATCTAAAATAGACTTAAAAAGAGACAACCCACAGAATTAAGGCCAAATACATTTGTTTTCAAAAAGAAGCAACTACTGGACTAGAATAAATACCAGGTTTTAAGAATAAGAGTCAAGCTGCCTACAGAAAGACTATAAAGGGCAAATAAAACATTTAAACCAAAAGAGATTTTGGGTCCCTCAAAAAAGGGACTAAAGTAAAAAAAAAAAAAAAAAGCTTTAATGAAGCATAATTTCATTTGTATTTTCTGAAAAATAATTAATGATAAATATAAATATTATCAAAAAATTTAAAGAAGTACATAGCACAAGGTACACACATTTTTTTACCTCTAAGCCAAGGAATGCCTGCACACTATTTGTTCTATCAAGACAATCCAAGCAGTTTGTTCGAACTGTACCACTCTGGCACCTGTAACAGTTTTAATAGTTAGATACTTTGCAGCAAAAATAAAGCTATAACATACTGAAAGTTCAAGTGAGTAGCACTGCCTTCTCTCATTTTTTATTATCAAAGTTTTCAAACATCCTAAAAAGATGAAAGAATTACACTATGAACATTCATACATCCACCATCAAGATTCTATATCTGCTAATATTTTCTGTTTTATTACATATCCATTACACACATGTACTTCATATTTATGACCTCATAGTTCTTTACATATAAAAACAAATATTTATAGAATGAATGTTTACAAATCTAAGATCTGCTGTTTTTTGACTCTCCTGTAAAATTGCTATGGCATTGATACTAAATAAAATATACAAATTGAAAAAGTTAAAAATTTGAGCTTTGTTTGCAAAATCTTTCAAACTTACTTTTTCCTATTTCATATGCAAAAACTGAAGATTTAAGTTATAAGGCACATCTTTCTATAATTTAGTAAAAACAATGTTTTTTCATTTGTATTTTCTTTCTCTCTTTCTTTTTCTTTTTCTTTCTTTTTTCCTTTTTTTTTTTTTTTTTTTGGTGGAACTGGGGATTGAACTTAGGCCCGTGTGCTTGCCAGGCATGCGCTTATTCCACTGAGCTATCTCCCAGGCCCTGTATTTTCATTTATTAGTATTTTCTGGGGTCAAGAAACATTAAAACAGCTTTAAAACTGAAGTGTAACAGCATGAGGTCTGGAACCAGATGAATCCTAGTGCTGATACTTCCAGGTTACAAGATTTGGAGCAGATTACAGTCTATGTCTCAATGTTCTCAAATGCGAATAGGCATGCTAATAGAAGCAATCCTTCTCATTCTTATTGATACAAATAAAGTACACTACTAGCCCCCACAATATGTGCTCAATAATGTCATTTTTTATTCTTATTTGTTGAATCCTCTAGGAAGAAGAACCTAAAATTAAGCACAAAAACGATTTTACATTTTAGAAAGGGTGTGTGTGTGTGTGTGTGTGTGTGTGTGTGTGTGTGTACTGGGAATCAGACTCAGGAACTTGTACTTGCCAGGCAGGCACTGTGCTGCTGAGCAGTATCACTGGCCCTACCCTAGCAAGGAAATTTAAGAGTCCACCATTAAGAATGACTTAAGTTACAGCAAAGTCCCAATTTAAAGAACAGAGAAATAGGGTCATCAAACCTTTGAACTTCATTTCCATTGAAGTAAAAAAATCCATAATCTAGAAACTTCTGGACTTGAGGTTTGAGAACACTATGTAATTTTTCTGCTTTTCCTCCTTTAACCATTTGATGATAGTCAAAATTCACCATGTGGATATCTGTAGCATGTTCAGAAGCTTTCAAATGACTCTAAAGGTAAAAAGAAAAATAATTATCTAAATATTAATTGATCTTATGCATTCATTTCTTTTGGTTTTTTTCTTTCTTTTTTTTTTTTTTTTTGTCATCCTAGGGATTGAATTTAGGATCTTGTGCATACAAGGTAAGTTGAGCTGCATTGTCAACTTGAACCTTATATTTTAAATTCAACTTTAGCTGGCTCCTTGGAACTTTAGGAATTCTATGTAAGGCTTAGAATTTCATTGATACTGGCAATAAAATGGAAAATTACTTGCTGATAGATAAAGATATACATTCTCTAAAACTTCATACTCTAAAACTCTTATCCCAGACAGACCAGTGACATAATTAATATCATGGAACCTAAATAATATTTTCATCTTATTTAAAAAACATTATTTCCAATCACTGGTATTTTATTTTTACAACAAATATTTAATAATTATTTATATCTATTACAGAATCTCAAAAGAAAAAGATCAGGATCTATCAAGGCATGAAAGATTTTTAGACCTTCACTCAATACATATTTAAAGTTTATTAACAATATTTTGCCACATTATAAAAATGGCTATATATATATTTTTTTAAAATGTATTTGGTACAGGGTCTCACTACATAGTTCAGACTCATAATTATCCTCCTGTTTTCAGTATCCCCAGTGGGATTACAGGTGTGTGCCACCACACCCGGTCTCGGTGGCTGGCTCAGCACAACCCAGAGCTGGGCGGGTGTGGCATGTGGTGTCAGGGATAGAACCCCAGTCTCTGCATTTGCCTAAGCAAGGGCTTAGTCCACTGAGCTATCTCACTGGCCCAAAATAATTAGTTGCTTTCAGATTTAATGAGAATGAACTTTACAAAATGTTTCTTAACCCTAACCACTTTGTGTAAGTTTAAAATCTTACATAGCACTATACTTTCTTAATTCATTATTGGCTCATTTATTAAAGTATTTTGTATTTTTCTTTAGCAGTCACATATTTTAAAGTTGTTTTTACATAAGTTTTCTCTGAATAGGAAGGAAGGTATAGTCTTGCATGGACACAAATGTACTATTGACCATTTGATAGTTTTAAAACAATGACTATGATTTCTTGGAAGTAGGCAAGGCAATAAAGAAGGAAACTGGCTGATATTTATCTATTAGTGATGTGAACACTTATGAGGAGATGGGTGGTCTTCTGCTTCTATATAATATTAAATAAGCTGATTAGAAAATAATGTCAACTAACTCAAAAGTTTTCCATAATTCCAACTTTAGAAGCCCTTTAGCTTAAACTCAATTATAATAGTGCCAAAGAGTGGTTTCAAGAAGTACCTTGTCCTTTGCTCAGGAAGTAACTTACTTCCGGGCACAATCTAATTATCATCATACTATTCTAGGTGACCATAGGACAGAGTGGAAGAGGTAAAGAACTACTTACTTGGAAAGCCTTACTTAGCATATGTTCGCCTTCCTTAGATCCAAGCAAATTTACTATTATTTGTTTACCATACAAATTCTTAAGTGTTCTAAAATGCCTATTAAAGAAAGGAAGTAAGCATAAATGAAAAGAATAATTTTTTTCAATAAATAAGAATTCATTATCAAAAGGTACATAGGTGGTAGTACTTTAGTCACAGAACTTTCCAAATGAGTACACATCCATTACACGTTCTCCAAACTCTGAATTGATGAAAACTCAGCTAATGCATTTCCTCACTGATTTACAGACAGTGATACTCTTACCCCTGCTGGAGCTTCCCATTCTGAGTGGCCAGCACCAGACAAGGCAGAACACAGCCATCAGCATAGCAGGGCAGGCAGTGGGGGCAGTAGGGACAGGGGTACCTCACACAGGTCCCCTATTCCTGGAGTATTCAGAGAGAGCTCTTTCTTAGCTCTAACCTTTGAAAAACAGGCCCCAGATTAGTTTTTTTCCTCTCTAGCATTCAGCCATACAGAGGCTATAGAGCAGGCCTCCCCTGATCTATGGTTTCACTTGTCATAATTTCAGTTAATTAAGATCATTCATTGTCTGAAGAAACTGTCTTGACTCTAAAAGAGAGACTACATTCACAGAACTTATGTTACAGAATGTTACAATAGTTCTATTTTTAATTTTTGTTGCTAATTTCTTCTGTGCCTCATTATTAAATCAAACTTTAACATAGGTATATATATTTAGGAAATAACATTCATGTATATAGTATATACAATATAAGGTCTCAAGGGATTCTCTCAGGGAGGTATTAAAATGTATCCTCCAAGGACGTGAGACTACTATTTAGAGATGGTAAACCTTTTAGAGCTTTCAATGGCACAGCCCACTGTGGTATGTATGCCATAGGTTCACCACCATTGGTATATAACAATGTCATACAAACGAAATATAACACGAGATTCATCTATAATTTAAAATATTCAGGGCTGGAGAGATGGCTCAGTGGTCTAAAGCACCTACTTGGAACAAGCTTAGCAAAAGCATCAGGGACCGCGGTTCAATCCCCCAGCACCACATGCCAGC